TTTTTTTAAATGATCATGTTTATGGCAATTATCGGTGGAGTTTTCTATCTGTGAAGGTGATTGTGTCCATTGTAATGAAACATTCTAAGAAAAGATTTAGAGAATATACTTTTTAGAAATAGGCATACAGTATCCTCCTTTTGCAACACAGAGAGTAAACTAAAGTAGCTCTTCATCTGAAGAAACCTGACATTCCACAGGAAATAAAATCAGTTGAGGACACTGAGGAATCACTGAGGTATTTCGGAGGCATGAGCCTGGGAGAAGAGCAGAGAACCGTCAGTGAGGCAGGGCAGTGTTCCTTCCCAAAGCCACAGCTGGTGACCAGGAGGAGGGTCCTGCTGCTTCGCAGGTGCCAGTGTTCCCTGAGGAAGGCTGCCGTCACAGTCCTCCTCAGGAGAGTCTGACAGACCCCACTGTGGAAATAGCTTGAGTTCTGTTTTACAGCGAGTGCTTAAAAGAGGCAAAAAAAAGAGAAATGATGGATTCGTACGGATGTTAATATGGGTCAAAAATGATCTCTCAATTGCAGGAATTCAAAGAAAAAAAGCATTCCTGATAGATAGCTCTGTGCCTAAGACCAGTACATGCCAAATGGGGCAGATAGATCAGGGTGTAGGAACATGAGGAGAGTGTAGGCCTTCTTGCTATGAGAGGTGTAAAGATGGCTGTTCCTGGTGGGCTAGAAACACCTCAGCATATCTTTCACTGAAGACTGAAGGCCGTTTAATATTCGCATTTCCAAGCTCCAGCTACTGCTTATCCCGTATTCAGTAGTAATTCACTGAGTGAATTAATGAATGATGTGCCTGATAGTTGTGAAAGATTTGTATTAAATGGCAAAATGAAAAGAAAAATGCAATGAAAGTTATTGGAACACATGCTGTGCTTAGAATGAATGCAGGAAATTGCACTCGTCATGATTCTTTTTGTAACCATTTCTGTGTGTGCCTAGAGTTATTATGTGTGCACAAGTAACTTAGGTTGATCATTGTGTATTGTGCTCTGTGTGTGTGTGTGTGTTACTACAGACTGAATCCAGAGGCACATGGGCTGTGTTACAACTACTCAGTTCTCTTGTTGTCCTGTTAAAACAGCAGCTGATGATATATAAATAAAAGGTCAGGCTGTATATGAGCATATAGAGGTATACCATTATTTATACCTCTGCCTACATTTACCTATATCTGTCTCAGGGCATAACCTTACACAGTCATGTTTGTGATCTGGTAGAGGTTCTACTTCCACGAGTGAACAATTGCAGACACTGAAACATTAAAAGGAAGGAGTCCTGACCTCTGCATACTATCCTGAGGAAGACTACTTTTGTCCGCCTCTATTATTCTCTCTAAGGACTTCTTGAAAATCAACTTCAGGGACTTTCCCTCGTGCCACTGATGCTGATTCTGTTTGAAGGAGCCAACAGAAAAGTAAATGAAGGGCTTGTCAGTGCTGTTGATACCAGACATGAACACAGCAATGAAGTCCATAATAAATGAAGTCTCTGTTATTTGTAAACCAGACCAACAGAAGCACACAGGTGCCTAAAGGGAGGACACCGAGGAGGATGACCAGCATGACTATCTGATGGTCACGTACAGCCTGGTCAGTCGCCGCCTCCTGGAGCCACAGATCTTCCTGAGCAGCAAGGCCAGGCCACACCCAAACAAAATCACAAACAAAAAGATCAGCCATTCAGCAGTGATGAAAGACATTGTAGGACACAGATAACACGAAAAGCTAAAGAAGAAGTAATGGTATACATGTTCAGGGATGCTCACTAACAAGGACAAGGCCCAGAGCCCAGCACATATGACAGCTGGCATGTGTCTTGGGTGGCAGTGTCTGTGCCAGATGGGCCACAGGACAGACAGACAGCGCTCAGTGCTTCTGGCACTAAGCATGCACAAGGTGATGATGAAGCACGTAATCAAAGGGAATAAGAGCTTGTAAATTGTGCCAGAGATGAAATTGAAGGCATGGACGAGGTCATTCACAGAACCTATAAAGTGGCAGCCCAGGAAGAGAAGGTCAGCTCCTGCCAGGTGGAGGACGTACACTGAGACCACATTCCTGTGCATGCAGAAGCCCAGGAGCCAGAGCACAACTGAGTTTCCTGCCAGCCCAACCAGAGTGAAGGTAATGTTCAGCCACTCCAGGGTCAGTATTATCCTGTCAAAGCGAAGATCCAGAACACTCCCACCCATGGCTGAATCTTCCTGTTGAATGGTTGAATTCATGCTCAGAGACTCTCCACAGATGTTCCTAGTTATATAAAAAAAGTTAAGCACCTGCTGCATGCTCTCTCGTTCTTGGGCCCTCTGCTATGTGCGAATTATTTTCTTTTGTTACAGGGGAAGACGCAATTATTTGCAGAGATGAAGTAGTTAATGGTTGGGAGTCCTGGAACCAAGATGCAAACCAGTTCTGGGGATTATACACACTGGGCTCTCTCTACTACAATAGGGATACTCTAGGACAGGCAAACATTCTATAGTCTAATCATACACACTGATCCAAGAAATTCCTGCCAGTGGATAGGACATGTCTCAGAAGTTCCTTCTAAAGAAGAGAACAGTTAAGAAATGATCTAAGAGACAAACACAGGATGGTGAACCCAGTTAGTACTCTGTCCTGGGCCAGAAACTACCACTAAATGAGGCATTGTAAAAAGGCAGAGATGAACCACACCACGCTCATGACCAGAATAGTCTATCGATGTGGGAGAAGTCATAGAGATGTGAAAAGAATGTGGCCTTTTACTAGTTCAGTTGTGATGATGGCTGGTCATGGTGACCCTGAAATGGCTCAGCATATTAGCCATTAAAGATGGAGGACGTCTGTTTCCCCAGGGGGTAAAGTGGTGTGTGACATACTGTGTTCTCCATAGTAACTCAGTGAATGAATGCATAAAGGAAGAGTGTAATGGTAGGAAAAAATTTAGATTAAATGGAAAAAAATTTAAAGGGTAACTTAAAGGTAATAGAATGTTAAATTAAAATAAGAGCATCAAAATTTCATTCATCAGTTATTTTTGAGGAATGTACTGTATTTAAAAGAATTACCTCAGTATGTGAAATTCAGTCAGCAAAGTCACAATCACCATCATTATCCCGCCCAGGAGACTTTCCAGAGCATTCCAGTTCATCAGTGTGTGTTCTGTGCACCCTCAGGCACACAGACAACTGCTGGACTCCTGATGCACATTGATAAATTGAGTTTCTAAACTGGTTTTGTAGAGGATATAGAACCATTTTAATGTATGGTATGGGCTGGAGTTGAGTTCAAACTGAGATGCCCGTGATATGTAGGATGAAAGTGTAACTGAGGTCAAGGTTGTACTGCCACTGAACAGAAGTATTTGGAGTATACAAGTATTCAACAGAAGACGTCTAAGTGCTGTGACAGGAGGTGTGCAATGTAAATTCACTCCATATTATCTCCCTGGAATTATCATCCTGTTTTGTACATAAACAATTCTGTGCGAGTGGAATCTTTGAAAGCAACCAGAAGCACAGGGCATGAAATTTAAAGGAACTGTTCATGCAGATTTTTTTCTGGAACATGATGTCCAATTTAGATATGAGTAAGTATTAACAAGTGATTGAGAGATATATTATCTCTTAGACTCATCTGACAGAACTGTACATTGAGAATAGAATTTCAATTATACTGAAGACAGAATTGGAGGATACAAACTGAAGGATTTGTCCTGGATGCACACTGTGAACTGAACCCAGCAGTGCTGCTCAGGATCCATCCCTGTGACCAATAGACTCAGCACCAGAGAGCTGTTGATTACAAACACATGAGGGCAAAAGCAGAGCAGTCATTTCCAAGTGAAATCCAAGCTGGCCCTCAGTGTATGGATCACATAGAACCTACAATCAAGAAACACTAGAGAGAAGGAAAAGACAATGAAACGGGGAAGGAGCAAATTATACATAGACGTTAAATAGGAGTAGATATCAAAATCCAAAACCTTCTTCGTAACAAGGTAGTCATGGCATTGGGATCCAGATGACTCACTTAGAAAAGAGGGCTCTGTAGGGGGAAAGAGGATGAATCCTCCCCCGTGCTGCAGAGACATCAGAAGTGAACACATCTGTAATGCTCTCTCTTACAGAGCCTCAGTGGGGCTGAAGAAAAATGCTTGAAAAACTAGAAATTCTATTCCCACCCAGACATTTTATTTTACATGTGTGTTTTTAGAGGCACCGGGAAACACTACCAGGGTCCTGGAGGGAATAAGGAAAGGGATTTTGGATTTATCTCCATGTTTCCAAGGATAAATCCTTTATTTTGCTCTTTACTTCTTCTCTGCCTTTGTGGTGGTGAGTGGGACAGATGAGTTCTTCTTCACCTGCCTGACCATCCTCTCCTATCGCTTAAACGGTCGCTACACCTATGGTCTCCTTCCAGAAACTACTTCATCCCTTGTCTTTAGAATCATAGGGTTGGATATCCTGCATCACTGTTGCTTTCACTGACACCACAGATTATCATTTTCCCTTAATTCTGTCTTTGTAAATAGTCAATTTATAGTAATGCTTCAGAATTATTTCAGTTTGGGATAACCTTTTCCTTTGAGCACCTTTGCAAGTATGTGAAGGACAATAACTCTGAAGGCAAATAAAGTAAGGAAAATTAGGTTTCAGAATCCTCAGCTCTTGAGTGAAATGCCTGCGGGTTACCTTGCTCTTTACATAAGGAAAAGGCAGAATTTCTCCTATGACTGTAGATTTGAAGGCTTGAAATAATGGGACGGAGTACAGAGATGGATCAACATGGAGAATCATCTAGAGAACTCCACATATGAATACCCACGTGAGATGCTCCCCGTACCCACTTCAAGATCAAAGCCCGTGCCTTTTCCCTTTCTTTCTAGGAAGCTGCATGAATTCTTCTCTAGCACACCCTAAAGGGAAGCAGAGGATTATGAACCTAGACAAATATTGACAAGCTTTGAAAATAAGAAATACGATGTTATATGCACTTACGTTTCTTGCAGCCTTCTCTCTAGAGTTAGAAAGCTGATCTGTGCTGCAGATGGAATGCCTTTCTGGGAATGGCTGACACCTGAGAACTCTTCTTTGTCCTCTAATACAGGACCTGCCCTCAGGATCTGGAATGCAACCGGGAGAAAAAGTGGCGTTTTTCAAGAAGCTATATAGCTCATGTGATTTCCTACCGGAGGATTGTGGGCAAATCAATAACAGAGGATTTTGATACATGCACTCTTACTTCACATACACTCTTATTTCTGGGCATCTGTCCAACTTCCACTCAAAATCAACTTCTCTCATTATATCTTATATAGGTTATGTTCCTGTAAGTAATTGCTATTCCGAAGCCTTTAATTGCCAACTCTGAGCCTAGGCAGCAGCAATCTCCAGCATAGTGAAATAGTTTATGAAACTTTATAAAAGGAGAATGTGGTATATCCGAGGATCATTGAATTCTTACGTTTTTATTTTTCTTTCATGCTTCCTTTATAAAGCATTCATTAATGTGAATGCTTTCAGTGTAAATGACACCTAGGTAAAAGTCTGTTTGAATC